TTTAGATGTGGCGCAAATTACATATATTTTTTTTTTATTGGGTTGATTTTGGCGCAAATTACATACGCCCCTTATTGTAGATATCTACCTATATATATATATATATATATATATCCAGAGGTCTCAAATCTACGGCCTGTTATTAAGCTTTTTGAACCTGTGCCCACCAAGCTGATGACTGATATTTTGATCTTGAAATAATACATTCTATATCATCCTAACTAATATAATATATAACTAAAGTATAAATCAGTAAGATCAATAATAATAAAATATACAATAAATGCATGGGTAATTTATTTTCCGTTGTAAAATAATGATGAAATAAAATAGATTTTTCACTATACTTTTAATCTCATGTCGCTATATACGCCCCTTCACAAATAGAATTGTCTTGGCTGCCAATATCGAAATTCGAAATGTGTCTCAAATTCTGACCACTAATAAAAAAAGGTTGTAAACCCTTGATCTATAACTCTATAAGGTTATTGACTATAATAGTTTAATTAATGGTTATAAGCAATTTGTTCTCTTATTGTATGTAAATAATAACATAARCTACCTAACCAAACCATCGATACCTCATTTTTTATGAGTTCGCATATCATCATTTTCCTTATCTAGACTTRAATAGTAAAATAATTATTATAACTATTACTGAAATGTACCTATATATACTAACCAGTTACCGAACATATTGCTGCGACAAATTCGTCCTTGTTTAATGGATGTTCTTTGTCATCGTAATAAAAAAAATATTTTTTTAATTCTTTTAAATGCGCGACTTCTAATGCATCGATGAGTTTTGTCTGTTTATTATTCAACTCAGTACCCCTGCAATCACGTTTGGATTGATAAATTAATAMATTATATTATTGTATTTAGTGATTTTCATAATTTGTTTACTATAGGTCCTATATATATATAAGGTGCCATTGGCGTAATTCCATTAAATTTCAGCAGGTGCAAAATTTTATCGGTCCAATAATCGTAATGATAAATTAAGTCATATTATTCATATTTAAAGCTAATTGCATTGTTTGCGTGTACTATATAGGTATATCTTTTTATATTTGATAACAATAAAACATAAACAAATATCAAAATCTGTATGTACCTATATATATTTTAAATACTATATGTGCTGTGTCTGTACTCAGGGTTGGGCAAGTTACCCAATTTATTGTAACTGGTTATAAGACACAAGTTACTCTAAAACTGTGTAACTAGTMACAAGATACTAGATACTTTTATGTTGTGTAACTGGATACAAGTTACATTTAAAGTTAAAAAGTACAGACTGTACTATTTATGATACGTTATACATATAAAAATATAATATTTATATGAAATTAATTAAAGTGATAACAAAATGTTTAAATAAGTTTAAAAAAAAATCAATGAAATTTAGTTGTTATTGTATTTCAATAGGTATAAAGTTCATCAGCATCTGCAGGTGCAAAAGCATATCTTTGCACCTGCTACATAATACCAGGGGGTGCAAGTGCACCGTCGTGCATCCCCGTAATTACGCTACTGTAAGGTACCTATATAATCTACGCAAATAGGTTATAAAATATCTTACTCGCTTGGGCTTGGGTCGCCTAAAGAATAATTCTCGACAGTTGATGTAGATGATCCGTCCAAAAGATCTAATGATTTAGAAACTGAATTGTTAATCATGTTTACAAGCACTACTGTACATAAAATGTTTGCTAAAAAAAAATTCTTTACACTCAAAAGTAAAATAATTATGATTTATGAATACTAATTTATACTATACTGAATAGGTAGTACCTACCTATATGCGCTGTTGTACAGACTACCTACGAAGATGTATAGCATCGGTACAACGGTGTAAAACWGTTGTTTAATCAATAATGTTCATATAGGTATCTATACTCATATTGTGACCATCGGTGCAACTATAATATACACACTTAAACAAGGGGGTGCTTGAGCTCCAGGTTTTTTGACACTTAATATAATATGGTACCTAAATTTTTAAGCAATTTTTTAGGGTGCTAAATACCAAAGCACCCCCTCCCCAATAGTTGCGCTAATGCTTAATATGGCCTACGTCAAGTTGTAGAAAAATATAAGTAAGCAGATATATTGCAGGTACCTATATCACACATATGGGAGATGCTATGATGCGCTAACCCAACAATAGTAACCACGGATGGCGGTCCAAGATACAATGCGCTACCACAACTTTACGTCTATACTTACATTCTATATCTATAAATTATTGTCAAACTGTGAATTTGATTTCACTGAAAATTGCAATTATTGTTATGCTACCAATTATTGGGTACTGACTAATTTTCATGTCTTGTAAAAACATATCTCCGGAATAGGGGTGTAGTAGACCAGTGGTATTCATACGCTCGGTAAATAAATGTACAGA